TCTGTTGTTTCGTTGGACGGGTCGACCGTGGCCGGGAGAAGGGCTAGGACAGAGCCCATGTGTATATCTGCTGGGAGAAGAAACCTTACTGCTGAAAGTTGTGTTAGCCCGCGTGCATGAAATATTGCGAATATAGAAAGCCTTGACTGTGAGAATGGACGCGATAAGAATAGAGAGTGGAGGAGGGGACACAGGCGACTTGAAGAGACAACAAAATTCCGCAGATTAACCCGAGATCGCGACATTGATCCGGGGTTTTCGCAGAGTTGCGTTTTTCGTGTTTGGCAGTGTTATTGATGCAGAGTACCCACAATCCAGGGCAAGAATGTGAATGCTGTTGCAACTTACCGAACAGTCAATCTGTGAATGACGCCAAGGTAAGAGAAGGGAAGAGACAAGGCGTGATAGAGGGAGGGGATAATCAAGGCTTCTTCTCCTGGACAGAGGATTGACTGGCCTGGATCAGAGGGCAAGATCGTGGCGGTAGAACTTTGTAGTAAGAGCTGCTAGAGAGTCATTTTGCTGTCGATTTTGAAGGAAAGAATCACGTAAGGAAGATTGCTTTAATGCTCAACTTACTTAGAGTGGATGGTTGGTCAAAGGTTTTGTAGCTTGTAGCTCTGGCCGACTGAATTTTCTGATTTGCTTGTTTGAGGGAACTAGAAATGGTAGGTCAACATTATTGGACGGGTTGAAGAAAAGGCTGCCTTCGCGGGGAGTCGCGACGGACAGACTTGTAAAACACACTTGTGGTTGCTAGGTGTAGACGCGGAAATACTTTCTTGACCATATAATTAAACACACCTAACACTATCAGCTACTGTTGTATGGAATAACGTAGTCCACGGTCCAATTGCACACTTTGGCAGACCTTATACGACAATGTATAAGTTAATTCAACCACAACGCCTATCATCAATTGAAACTACTCAGAATCATTATCTTCAGACGTCTCTACATCATTTCCACAAGTGCGCGCATTATGTCCGGGCTCGCCGCAGATTCTACAGCGCAGTACACGCGCAATTCGCCGCCTCGTACGACCACCAATTTGACGAAATTCGTCATGTAACTGCCCATCAACCTCTCGTTGAGACTGTAGGTCCTGTCCAGCTTGTATACGAAGTGACCCTCCACTCTGTAGCTGTTTTTTCTTCGCACGGCGACGTCGACTTAAGGTCTCATTTGCCTTTCGAAGTGATTCGACCTCGCCTTCTAAAAGGGCAAGCCGATGCATAACCTTTGTTGTACCTCGCGCAATCTGATCTATTCCAGCAAAAATTGACGTTGGTGAGCTATTTTGATGTTGTACAATCCTATTTTTCACATAATCGCTTTGTGATTGGGCTTCGGTTGGGTTGTTCGGAGTCTTTGATTCCCAAGGGACAGGGAGACCAGCCGAGCTACCCGGAGGTGTTGGCGTATGTAATCTCACATCGAGCTGTGATATGACATAATCTGCATCGTACGGAACTATTACTACCCCTCGGAAACCTCCTTGGATATTTGAAACCGTGAAAGTTGCGTTGTACGCGTTTAAAAACGCCGGTAAAAAGTCTTCTTTCGAGATATGACTTATATGTGCTCGCATGAGATCTTCGATTTCTTTTCCGTACGCTCTTTTTAACCCGCGAAAACAACCAACATCAAGAGGCTGGAGCTTATGCGACGAATAAGGAGGCATACAAAGCGTGATGATATTGTTCGCTTTGCAATATACCACGAAATCGGTCGAGTGATGGCTTTCGTGACCGTCGAGGATCAATAGGTGATGAGTACCTTTCGTACGAGACTTGGTGTGATTATCGAAGTGTTTTATCCAATCTTCGCCTCTCTCGTTCGTATTCCAGCCATTTTTAGTAACTGCGATAACCCAATCAGGCGGTAATGGGCTGTTTTCGTACCATGACGAGAGGTGGGTTTTGCCGGCGAAAATGATGTACGGAGGGAGGGCATAACCGGACGACCCAACGCCTTGAATAACTGTAACCCATTCCCGATTTCCTTGCTGAGATTCTCTAGGCCTTCCGCGCCGATCAGAAGTCGTCACGACCATTTCGGACGAGCTTTGGCCCATCACAAAACCGGTCTCGTCGAAGTTGTAGATATCCTCCTCCTGGATCGCATATTTCGCAATTGTATTCCGTACCAGGTCAAACCACGCGCGATACGCGTCGGGGTCTTCGCAGAGGACTCTCTGATAGTCGATCCTTCGATTTAAACGCGTCCGGAGGTCTGGTTGTCGTCTTACGAAGCTCGAGGCCCAGTTGACGCCGACGCGACTTCGAATAATCGGTTGGCCATATCTTCAACACCACTCAATCGGGGAGGGAATTCTCGCGAACCTAGGTCGGTTATATGTCGTACGATTGTATCTTCTTCGGAAGGAGTCAACTTTTGCGTTGGCGATCGCGTAATCGCTCGAGCGGTTTTACCGTCGCGTCGATACGCAAGCGTTCTAAAAGGTACGTTATAGATCTGACCAGCCCGACGTACACTTAATTTTGGATCAGATTGAAGCGCATGTAATGCTAGAATCATATCACTTTCATTCCAAGAACCAACCATAGTTATGTGGTGAAAAACCGCAGGTCAAAGTGGTAGCGTACGAAAATCTGCCGAAGTGTGCAATTGGACCGTGGACTACGTTATTCTGAAAGTATTAACTTGATGTATTATTTAACTGTAAACCAGCCTGAATAAATCGAAATTACCCTGTAAAACTTATGAACTAAGACATAGGCTCTAATAGGTCACATAATAGTAGGGTTTAACCTTATTACTCCAGAGTTAGCTCTTCCTCTGAAATTACATATAACCGTCGAAAGTAAATAGAAGTTACTGTGGTGTACTAGTTTCTAGAAGCATATTGATGCGTGCATCTAGGGGGGAGGATGCTATAATACAGAAGTGCGCAACGTTATAGTATCTAATTGAAGGGATTCATCTAACCAGTAGGTCCCCCTACCTTTTCGTATCAAATGGTAGCATCTCTTCCGTTATTTAGTCAAACGGTCGTATAGACGATTTAGTAGGGTTTAGGACGTATGGCTACCAAGTCCGCAACGCATCCGGCGAATGGCTGTCGCGCCCTGACGAATAGACCACTATAGGGGTAGTACCGGGTTCAATTCCCGGCGGAAGCACTAAACCACTTAGGGAGGATTACGGACCTACTCTAGCAATAAGACCTGCGAGCTATAAGCCTATTATGGATAATAGTTTCAATTAACCAGACCCCGGCACTTAATACGTGCACCTAGGGGGGAGGATGCTATAATGCAGCAGTGCGCGAAGTTATAGTATCTAATTGAAGGGATTCACCTAACTAGTAGATCCCCCTACCTTTTCGTATCACACATGTTATTGCCGGTGATAGATTTGAGTAAGACTAATGATGAAGCTTATATATTACACGGCTTCTCAGGGGGGACTTAGTTGGTAGGTTGAGAACCAACGTAGTATGGTAGTGAACGCAACGCAGTCGCCAATAGAGCGAACCGACGACGCAGCGTATGTATTTAGTCCAGCCATTAGGGCACGGTTTGACATACGGGAGTACTGGTAGAGGTACCGGGGGCTTCGAGCCTACGGCGTATTTAATAATAATAAAAATAATATTACACGGGACTTTTTCCTTAAACAAATAGAATCGATGTCCTAGGAAACAGGGGAGCTAGGTAATTTAAGGCGTTAACTGTAATGTTTATAGAGCTAGCGTGTTCTATATTGACGACGGGCAGTGAAACCACCCGCAGGTTAAGGTGTAAGATGATGGCAACGGACAACAAGATCCTCAACAAGACCTTACTATCCGGGAGGTGGAAAGAAATAACAAGATCAAGAGCTCTTCTAGCTCTGATCAGAACAACAAGTACCTCAACAGGTACGAACAACTAGAGCCTCAGCAGGCTAGGGAAGAAAAGGAACCTCAACAGGCCCTTGAATAATATATACAATCGTCTGTACCCAGGACTGAAAGTACACATCCCCGAAGATGCCGAAGGTCTGGAAGTCGACGACTATCTGGACTATATCGAAAGAAAGGTCCGATCACATCGGGACGAACTGGTGTACAGCGGACACAAAGATAAGAAGCCCACAATCAGTCAGATGGTGGTGCGAGGCCAGCTTCCGATGGCGCCAGCTCTCATTGATGCGGCGAAGCCACAAAGGATGCTGCAAGCAGCTAACGCAACGTACCATCTCAACAACGACGAAAACATCACAATCGGTGATGACGAACACGCAAACTATTTCAACCCAAACCGAAGGAATTGGCGTGGAAACGACAACTACGGTCCCAGTGACCGCTTCAAAGGTCACGCCGAACCCCGTCACAACCGTGACAACCGTGACGAACGCGGCGACAGAAGGCCCTTTTACCGCCGTTCAAACAGAAGATTAGGATTTCGCAGACGTGGGCGCAGCGATTTCCGAAACAGAAGGCAAGGACGCAACCGCCGATTCCGCAAGTATCACCGCACAGCAAGATACGAAGGCAGAGCCTACATTGCCGAAGAAAATCATTACTTGGACCCTAATGATAGCGAATTTGACGAACAAGAACAAACCCTGAACAAAGAGGGTTTCATCTACGTTGGTGAAGAGGAGGATGACGGACGTTTTGTCGGATGCGAGAATGATAGCAGCTCAATAAACTCTGATATCGACCACTCTGATGATGGATATGAAGGCCATGCCGAGGAGGCACCTTCGCAGCCGCAAAACCGCAAAGATAATGAAAGTGATGAGACACACAAGTTCGCATGTTCGAAATGCGCAAAGCCATTCCCAACAGAACAAGCATGGTTCGTACACGAGCTATCAAACACTTGCAAATCAACTAAACACAACGAACCAAAAAAGCAATCAGCACAGATACATGTAGCCTACAAAATTCCGGAATCCGGCGAGATCATCATGAAAGCGAAGCCCAAGAAGATTGGGAAGATCGACAAAGGCATCGCAAGTATTACGTACTGTCAGGTGAACATAGAATACGAAGGCCACGAACCAACAACCGGATGTTTAGATACCGGAGCTACTAACACATTAGCGGATCGTAAGTGGGTGCAAAAGTACGCACCAGAAGCGGAAATACTGACTAACGACACTCTACGCATACGAGGCATAGGAGGAACACTGACTTTGACAGAACGAGCAATACTCACATTTGTTCTGCGAGGCAACAAGCGGGGCAAACCGACACATTGCCTTATTACAGCGGAGGTGTGGATCATGGACAACCTCAAGCCAAACATCCTTCTAGGCTCTAGCTTCCTGGCAGAGCACGGAGTGACAATCGATTACGGGCGCAACAAAGCTACCTTCAGCTCTTGTAACGGCATGGAAACCGATATCACGGTATATCGGAAGCGAAATACAATACGTCGCAGAGTGTTGGTTGAAGCCGCAACGGTTGTGCCAGCGAACTCGCGAACACTCATACACGTCTGCTATGCAGATGTGGACGAGTTCGATGACTACGGCTCAAGACGAGACTACCAATTTATAGCATCCGCCAAAGGATTCAGCAATTGCGTGACCGATGCAAGGTCAGCAAAGGTCGTGCCATACACCAACCTGTCCGATAAAGCCATTCGTTTGACAAGAAAGCAAAAAGTGGGGCACCTTACCGACATAGGCGAAGACGGATTCATTGCGACATCTTGGGAACGAGCCAACATGGTACAGACTGCGTGCATCATCCAAGACGAACAACGGACAGAGGAGATGTCCAACAAGCCGGCACCAACGGACAACGACGAAGACAACGACGTATGGATATCTCAGGAATTCACTCTGACGGATGACATGATGGCAATGTTGCAATCAGAAGACTGTACACCAGACGACCTTTGGAAGAAAATCAAGAAAAAAGAAATGTCCGAAAATGCCCATAAACCGAAGCCACCCACAAACATCGAGGAAGTTATCACGGAAGAAGGCATACACATATGTGGGACAAATGAAAAATGGAGTGCGGAAGCCAGGAAGGCTATTCGCGCTCACAAAGCTGTATTCGGCAACGAGGTATCATCAAGATGCCGGAGGAAGACATGATAAGAATCGACCTTGTCGAAGGCTGGCAGAATCAGAAATTGGGCGCAAAACACTATCCCCTAGGCACCAAAGACAAGGAGATTCTCGACAACACATTTGACCCTATGCATGCCGAAGGCAAGCTTCAATTTCGCAAGGGACCAACCCCATTTGGCTGCCCAGCCTTTGTCACATACCGCACTGTGGCAGGTGTCCGTGAAGGACGAGTTGTCGTGGATCTCAGACCACTAAACAGACTCGCAGTGCCGGATAGGCAACCAATGCCCAGTCGACGAAATCGTGGAGAAATGTCAAGACAAGAGATATTTCACAATTGCGGACATGGCACAATTCTTCTACCAATTGCCAGTCTACCCACCGCACCGCGATAGAATGGTCATATGTTCTCCAAGGCGTCTGGAACAGTCGAACGTATGTCTCATGGGTTACGTCAACAGCCCTGCATATGCGCAAAGGTTTATGAATAGGCTTTTGCGCGACCATGCCAAGTTTGCGGCAGCATACATTGATGATGTAGTCATCTTTTCCGACACCCGGGAGGAACATCTGGAACACTTGAAACAGATCCTGGAGTTATTCGACAAAGTTGGTCTTGCCGTGAACCCTAAGAAAACATTTGTCGGATACCCATCCATCAATCTGCTTGGTTTCACTATCAACGGATACGGTAAAGCTATCACGGAGGAACGCGTTGAGGCGATCCGTAAGCTGAAAATGCCAGAAACACTGGGCGCCCTCGAAACATACATCGGCATGACAAGCTACCTCTCTCATTACATCCCCTACTACGCACAAAAGATCAAACCATTGCAAGACCGCAAGACAGCGATGCTTGCAGAAGGCCGCAAAGCGAAAGAAATCCCTTCCAAGCCGGCAGCAAGGAAGAAATACACCTCAAAGCGACGCTTCGAGCCCACGGCTTTGGAACAAAGCAGCTTTGAAATCCTACAAGATCAATTATGTGATCCAGACAATCTGATTCATTGGAATTATAGGCAGCAAACATTCTTCAAGATCGACGCCTCTCAAGAAAGAGGCTACGGCGTAATGATATTTCACCTCAGAAATGAATGGGACGGCAACATAGTACACACCGAGGATGTACAACCCATTATGTTCCACAGCAAACGACTCTCAAGAGCCGAGAGACATTACGGCTCCACGGAAAACGAAGTAGCCTGTTTGGTGTGGATCTGTCGACAACTGCGTATTCACATACAATCATGCGAAGATCCTGTAGTGGTATTGACAGACCACAAAGCAACGAGGAGCATCGTGGAGCAGGTTAGCCTCCGAACAACGGATATCAACAAGGGCAACCCGAAGTTAATGCTGGCATTGTCAGAGAACAGAATGCCATAGGCACCAGTGGGTGTCAGGACACTGAACGCAAGACACCGGTGGGGCGCCGGAGGGGTGTTTCGGACAAAAGACTCCCGAGTCATGATTACAATCTATGTGAAGCTTTGGGATGACGAGAGTCAAGATCCTTGGCATCGCCGACCCTGCTGTTATGCCGGGTCCAAGCGGCGGCCTAGCTATCTATATAAGGACCATCTCGAAGTAGGATAGGGAAGGAGCAGAGATCAATGCATCACCGTGGGCACCCCTACCTGAGACCGCCAGTGACCACCCGGTGCTACGTAGGAGGGACGCCCGTTACTCCCCATCACTCTGTACTATTGCCTTCGGCCTAGCCGTACCCTGACAGGCATCAACTTATCTTTCTCAGTATCAACTAGAGGTACGCTACATCCCAGGTAGTCTAAACCTGGTACCCGATGCATTTTCCAGGTTGCCGACAGTGGACGACGCCAGGGACACAGCCGAAATGGCTCGCGATGACGTCTTTGTCATTGATTTGGCTACACCACGACAATTTGCTTTGCAGTGACAGTGCAAAGTCCGAAAGGTTCGATCAATCTTTGCAGTGACAGTGCAAAGACCGATGGATGCGATCAGTACGATTTGTGATGAGTGTAGAATTCGATGGTTGCCAGGCCGGTTTACCTTGGTCCCCAGCAAAGCTTACTCAACCGAGTGACCTCGGGCAGGGCTTTGGTAGGGTAGGTTGCTTTTGTCGTCACCTTTGGATCGTTGGACAACCGCAACGATCATCAGGGAAAAAATTAGTAGGTCCCTTGTCGAAGAAGAGATGCTACCATTGTTACACGCAAAGGTGGTCAAAGATTTGTGAGGTTGTAAAAGCATGACATTCTATCTAGTCCTATGGAGCACGAAGGTTGGACTTAGTCCCGAAGGGCTAAGTCACGTGGTAACCTTGGTGGTCTTGGCAAAGCCCACCAAGGTTGCCTAACAAGTCACCTCAACAGGCACAATCAGATCTATAGGGGAACAGAAAGTACCTCAACAGGTACGTCAGACATTGAATGCCTGTCCAAGTAAAGAGAAATTGGTTCAGATTACTGTGGAAAAGGCCGCTTGAATTCCTATCTTTTTCTCAAGAGAGTGACTATGTACATAAGGTCTTAAATACCCTTCAAGAACGCGCTTACATAACTCGTCTGAAACCGGAAAAAACGAAAACGAGCACCCAAAAACCCCAACCCCACGTCTGTGACGACTGACACATGGACGATAAGCAGGGACATCCTGACATGGCCTGCCCTGATCTGGACGAGCGCGTTCCCCTTATAATAGGAGAACGGCCAGACATACTTGTAACCCTTTCCTTCTCTTTCTTCCCTAGTTTAGTATTCAACAATAGAGATGCACTGATATGCAACCTTGATTCGTACCTATGTGCCTCTGCCTCGTTACAACGTCACTATACAAGGTAGAGACTCACTACAATACGTAAGAAGGAGCTGTACGGATGAACTAAGATATATACGGTCATGTCACGACCTGGGTTGCATCGCATTGGTATAGACTTCGATTAGGTGCTATCGACGAAGATTCTACTCTCGGGTCGTGACACAATTCTACTCTCTTTAACTTTATCGCGGTGGCGCGATTAACAAACACCTTTCAACCCCAATTCTCAATTCGTTACGTCGTGTATGTGCGACGAGAAACTAAGACATACCACCTAGGAGACGTCGATGCCGAAGAAGATAGACTACGGGCTACCGACACGCAAGTCTCAACGCCTGACGACTGCATCAGAAGGACCTGACCAAGACAAACGGCAGGTCGGCGACCAAGAGACAATTACGGCGAGTACAACGCCCGAAGAAGAAGTCACCACCACCCAAGCAGAGGACCCCGAGCCAGAAGAGCCTGTCCGAACCAACCCCGCTCAAGTCAACAACGACGAGCAGGAAGACGAGTCTGATAGATACGACTCCTCCCACGAGAATAGTGACAGCGCAGAAGGCGAATCACCCCAGTTTTACCCCCTGGACGCCAACGCGTCACCCGAAGGTCAACGAGAACAAAGCCCTTCACCTACCTCACAGTTGCGGAGCGAGATGGAATCCCATGACCAACCCAAAACCAGTGCGGCGGCTACTCAGCCAGCACCTACATTTGCGCAGATGCAATTCCTACTGGACCGCATTACCCAGCTACAGCAGAGCGCTAACAACGACGATCCCGACCGCCGGACCCGCGCGGTCACACCTGCCAATAGTGCCTTCGGAGGCACTGACTTCCAACCCACGGGACTGGCTGCTCTTCCTGCGTTTATTCCTTTTGGTAACGACCAGAACTCCCGAAATGGGAGTTACGATCGCAAAGCCCGTGAGACGAGACGAGAGCCTCCTATCTTCAAAGGCGACAAGGATTTGTTTGACGAATGGATCGTTAAGGTTGCGGATAAATGCCAAGAAGATCTCGAGACATTTAAAACCGAACGCAGCCGAATGGGACTGATCTTCGGTTTTACCCAGGGCCATGCCAATGAACTTCTGAAGGCGCGCTATAGTTCTACCGAAAACCCTTTTCGAAATACAGCTGAGATGGTCGCTACCCTCTCCGCTGTATATCATGACGATAACCAAGGCGCAAAGGCACGCGAAGAATTGCGAAAACTCGAATATGACCCTGCCGATAAAGGAACCGACATTCATCACTTCATCAGCAAAGTCAACAGCCTGGCCGATAAAGCAGGCATCGCAAAATCTGAGCGCAAGGCGGTCCTCTACGACCACATTCCCGCAGACTTAGACCTCCGCCTACTCCATGACTCGAAGAACCCCTCTGTCTCGTACGAGGAGTTCGCTGGTACGGTCGCAGATGCCGCCGTCGCTAAGCAACGAGCATATGAGAGGCGCCGCGAGAAGAAACAAGCCCGCCGCGACAATTCCTCCCCAGAAAACCAGACCCGTCGCCCTACCCATCGCATGACACGCCGAGAGACTAAAAAGGAAAGTAAATCTGGATACTCCGATGACCAGCAACCACTCCCCTCTGAGGCGAAAGCTATCATGAAGGACGCTGGACTCTGCTTTGTGTGCAAAAGGACTGGTCACCTGGCTCGCGACTGCCCTGATCGTAAGACCCTGGCCAACATGCTGGCAGCCCTGGAAGAAGACGATGCCAGAGCTGGTGAGAAGAGGACGTCGGAACCGGAAAGGGAATCAAATTCATCGTTATCGTCATACAGCGATTCGGAAAACTACTAGGACTGTCGCAAGTCTCCTCGACAGTCCATGTGCCTCAGTTAGCTAAAGTTAGCCGATCACCAAAATCCAACACATTTCTCACAACAGTTCAAGTACAAGTGGATGGACGTGGTCTCAAAGCTAAAGCTCTCTGCGACACTGGAGCAGATATCTACCTTTCTGTAAATCCGACGACAGCCGATAAGATGGTGCAACTCCTGGGTGCTGAGAAGAAGCCACTCACTCAAGCCATGGGATTCAACGACTTCAATGGGAAGCTGACCGCAAAAGCAACCCAGGTCGTGACAGGTAATACCTTTAATTATAAACGTGGGCTGCTTTAGCTAAAATTAGACTTTACTCATTGACACTATAATAAAGCACGGGAAGACCTTGAAGTTTACCTCTAGGTAGTAACATTATTCAATTAGTAATAAGTAGCTCAAGTAAGCAACTAAACACTAATAGGCAACCTCGTCCAAATCAGTATAACATATTTAATAATATTGACGTGGGGTTAGGGTTTTTGGGTGCTCGTTTTCGTTTTTTTGGACATTCAGACGAATTATGTAAGCGCGTTCTTGAAGGGTATT